ACTCAAGGGAATCATTGTTTTGGGTTAAGTATTGCTCTCACCTTGAGTTCTGTTCAACTATAATCCCTGCTGGGAGGCAGGAAAAATGAACTAACTCTTTGATATGACTCAAATAACCTTCCTTTATGGGAGGCTGTGAAGAGGAAAGGGAGGAAATATATAAATGGACATCCAAGGAATGCAGAAGAATGATTTCCCCTACTTCACAAATCTGCTTGGGATAGTTCAGGAATGTTGATTTAAACTGAACTCTAACAGGCTGGGAAAATATGTTTCCATGAAAGAAAACAGAGGGTATCATTCTATATACATTTGTCATCCAAGCTTAGAAAAATGCAACAGTCCCAGTAGACACACAGACAAAAGATGTTATCCTACAACACAAACAGACAACCATGTTTTCAGAAGAGGCTCACCCTGGACAATAAACAAATGTGTATATACACGCACAGGCCAGTCTCTGCTAAAATTGACAAAATGACATCACAAATTGGCATAACTTCTTGAAAAACAGCTTAAGCCATCCTTACAAAACCTAAATCCCAGAGAGCAGCCTTCTCTCCTCTCAAGAACTGCCACAGACACTGACCAAACCCTGAGAATATCAGAATTCCTTCTTGAGCTGTCATCCATCAGGACATTTTTGTTAAAGGAGCTTTCTCCCCGAATAATGATAAATTTGGGTATCTCTGGATTTACATATTCGTTATTTGCTTGTTTATACAAACTCCCAATGTATATTGTGACTCTACATCCACTGGTTTTTATTTTCTACCGAGGTGTCAGAAATACTTTTACATTTCAAAAAGTTTAGGAAAGAATGTTATATTTGCACTTGGGAAAATGTATTAATTAACTTTTATACCTCATTGCCTCCTTTGCTCTAGATAACCCTTTCTTCTTGTATTTTCAAAGGGTTTTATTAATAACTTTGTTTATAACTGAACAACTGTTATTAGCTTTTCTGGTTTACATGAAGTCTAAATCTGTTAGCACACATTTCTGTATACAGACAACTATCATGAGAACTGGCACAGTCATTAGTAAGCCTTGTGAACAAATAGTACTTGTTCTAATGAAAGACAAAAATTGGTAGAAATCTGTGATCACAGCCTGTTCTCGCTGCCACCAAAGTCCTGACAATCTAATTCTCTCTTCCACTGAAGGCAGTAAGTGATGCTGATCCTACACACATATTTAACTCTAGATTAAGCAACTAGTAGCTGCTGTAAAGCAACACGTGTCAAAATTTTTGTGCTGTGTCCTATATAAAAACTCATTTTAGGCCGGGC